TGATTTGGGATAAAACACTCTTTCACAAGATTTATAATAATTTTACTGTTCATAGATGATTTTAAAATATTTAGCAATTTTCTAGGTGTAAACTTTTTTTTGACTCACACGGTAAAATGCTCAGTTCTCTTCAAACCTTGATTGTTTTCTTGATACCTTGATCCAAATAGAACTTCTCAATTAGTAAGGATAGTGCTGAGGATGCCAAGTTAAAGGAACTACTCAGCAGCCAACAAGGAACAGCTCCGGGTGACGAGACGTTACAGAGCAGACAAAGAGCAAGGCCCTCCATGAGTGAGTACAAAATCAAACCTTAAGCGACCGCTTGTCTATAAAGACCACATGTTTTGTTTCTCTTGAACAAAGTTTGTTATTGAAACATGTACTAAATGAACCTGTACATATAGACCACTTGCCTATACAGACCACATAATTTTTTTCTCCCTTTAACAAAGTTTCTCATGGAAACCTGTCCTAAATGAACCTGTACATATAGACCACCTGCCTATAAAGACAACTTTTCATGTCTCCCTTGAGTGGTCTTTATATACAGGTTTCACTGTATGGGGTAGTTGCCGTTTCAAAAACAAACTGTGCTTCAGTGCTTCAAGAAACATACCCTCTCTGGTATAAAAATGCTGAAATTTACAGGGAGATCAAATGCTGGAAAAATAAATATTTAGGCATTAGGACATCAATCATGAATAGTGAAGCGAAGTTGATCAATTTGTAGCAAACCGAGAGAACATACAGTTGACAATTTTTAGGAATTAGACAGAGTAGAAAAGCTTTTAGAAGAGGAATAATACAGTTTCAATTTGCCTGAAGTTCTTATTACATTAAAAGCATGTAGACTTTGTTTCAATCATGTTATTTTTTTATTGAGAGCTGCATGCTTCAATGAATGTATTACAGATAGGCAATAAATATAACATATTTGACTAGCAATTTTGAATTTAGACAGTTGGTTTACATCCAGTATTAAACCTTGATTAATTGTTTGATATGTTTATTATGCCTGTATTTTATGAAGGCATGGTACATTTATGTTTAATAAAGAGTGCATCTTTTATTGAATGACAAAGAGACAATTTTTTAATTCTTAAAGTTATTTACATACCTAGTAACAGCTCGTTGCTGCTATGTGTGTGTTTAAACAATCTTAAATGTTCTGCATTTTGTCTACCTAATTACATAGTGATATATATAAATGGTGCACTTTTTGCATAATTCTTATATGGATTGATACATCCACACATTTATTACAATTTTGCACACGTTTCTATCTAAAGAATATTTATTAAACTCTTCATTTTGACCAATTTGAGAGAGATATCCCAGGTTTAAATTTTTATCTAAAAAAGCAAATTGTTATCAAATGGGATTCATTAATAAATATCTTTGAAATAGTGCACTTTTAGAAAGTTTGTTCAGTATATTTGAATGCTATTATTTGACCAATGACAAGTTTGGAATCATATCCTTATTACCATATTCTGATCGTGCATCTATTTTATTTTTACAATTTTATGTGCATGACATCTTGCATGACCTTTCTCTACCATCTGCAACGTTCGTCATCAACCTGCGCATCTTGAATGATTGGTACGCCCTCGTAGGCGGCCGTATGAACATGAGCATGACGGCCGACGAGGAGGTGGCCGATGAACAAACTGATGAAATGATCCAAATTCTTGTCAACACAGCCAAAAATACCAGCACACGATCTGCCCCGCGAGAGCGTAAACGCACTCGCAACACCAACCGTAAATCTCGTAAGTAATTAGCATTCATGGTCAGTGCATTGTGGGTATGGTACTGCATTTTGTCTGTAGTATATGCTGGGAGTAAATTGAATGGGTAACTTGCCAACTCTTTCAAAGAATATACAAGGTAGGTAAAAGAAAATAAATTTAAAATAATTATTTGCCAGAGAGAAATAATAGAGGGTTCAATTTGAATCAAAAAATTCTCAAGCCAAAAAAAATCTAGCTGACAAAAAAATCTATTGGGACTTGAAGGAAAGATATATTGGTATGTTATTTTATTTTTGTAATCGATGTTGTGGAATTTCATTGAAAACTCACCTCCAGTTATATCTATCAGGGAGATCAACATTAATTTATTTTTATTTACATTACCAAACTTTTCCTTCACATTTCAGGGATATTTTTCTTTCATTCTAAGATGGTTTAATCAACAATTCAACAACATTGTATTTCAAGGCAAAGTGAAGATGTTAAATTGTTCCTCTAAGAAATATTATAATTTAGATACAGGAATGAGAAGTAAATCTATTCCACACTGACTGCATGGTAAACTGCATTTTGTTGAAACTGGACATGAATCATTATATTTATTAATTAAATAGATATTGAGAAATAGCATGCATGAGTTATTAAATGGCATCTTGATTAGAAAGACAGTAAATAGTTACAACTGGATGAGCATTAAAATCAGTTATATATCAATTAATCATTCATGCTTCAACAGGACATGTACATTCAATGATTTGGAATTGGAATTATTTATTTCCAGAAGGGATAAAAGGTGATTCATAGAGCAGCTCCAACACTTTAGAAATATCTAATAATGGTCATAGATGGACCTCCCCATGTTGACAATCCTGTAGTAGTTTAGCTTAATTTTCTATTGAGTATTATGAATTAGAAATGTAAGGAAATCACCCAACCTACAACCACATACAGAAATGTGAAAGTATTTGATGATTGCATTAACATCTGGTAATTTGCATTAAATAGGGAATCATCTATGTTTTTTGTTTTATTATTATTGTGGAAGTGGATTTTCTATCAGGTTTCAAAGACAAGGTTTCAAAGACAAGATTTCACTCATTTCATCGAAAATCTCTTCTATGACAGAGAAAATCATGTACATGTAGTTACTCTATGAATATGGCAGCTGTAATATTAAACATGATGCAACTCAGTCAGAGTAATAAAACATGATGAAGTCAATATATTAAAATTGTTTGAGATAGATGATGCATTTTTCAAATATGTATATTTAATATATGTGTATATGAATATGTATATCTAATGTATGTGCATATGAATATGTATATCTAATGTATGTGCATATGAATATGTATATCTAATGTATGTGCATATGAATATGTATATCTAATGTATTTACATATGAATATGTATATTTAATGTATGTGCATATGAATATGATTATTTAATGTATGTGCATCATGAGAATGTATTGCATTTGGAATGGATGTAGAGATAATATGCAAATAGGTTGGCATTCAGATGAGAGTCAGATCCATATTTAAACTCCTGAGGCCTGTTATAATAATATTCTAGTTAAACCCAACGCTGGGCCTAAGATCGTGTCTTACGAAAGGAAAAGTTAGACCGCAGGCTTTCTATCTTTGTTTAATCCAATATTGGACAGAAGCTTCAATCATGTGTCGAGTTTAAATCTTAGTAGAATTCAGTCCAAAGTGAGTTGAATTAGACCATCAAAATATTAGTGTCAAAACCTAATCCTGTAAAGTGACAAAAATTCTATAAAATCTAATGAATCTTGCCACAAGAAATGAATTTTGTTATTTTCATATTTATTGAGAAAATGTTTGAGGTATTACTCTATTCCCGGTAAACTTATTACACAATACCTTATCTTTCCAGACAGTTTGAAACAGAAAAAAATGTGTTATTTAATCCACTTCTGTCTGGCTCAAAACATCACTTCTCTCTTGAAAAGAATTTATCATGAACTTCAAGTCCAAAAATGAAAGTACCTTCACAGGTTAATTTTCATAGAATGTACCATGTAATATTTCATCTATACCTGTGGCTTTTGAACAAATATTGTCTTGTAAATACAGAGAGAAAAAAGGCTTCAAAATATTACACTGATATTAAAAAGGACGCTTCAATTGCGATTCGATTATGATTAATAATGATTATATAGTAATGGTAATTGATAATGATTCAACTTTCCATACAACTGCAACTACTTCCAATGTTTTCAAATATGCTTTCTCTGCATGTGATGCAATCCAAGTAACTTTACTTCAGGGAATACAAAATCTACATGATCGTCCCTATTTTCATGAAGTGACGGTAGTGAGGAAAATCGCTTACAATTTGTGTGAGGATTTTCCTCACTACTGTCACTTTACTTCACAGGAACATGATGTATAATATTTCTTTTATTTTGGTCTTTGTCTACAGTCAGGAGAACATTAAAAAGTGGCCTGACGGACGCTGAGCGACAAGCCCTCGGTCTCTTACACGCCAAGCCCAACGAAGTCCATGTATGATGACCAACTGCCTTTCTTCCTATGCTAAGGACTGCTATACCCCTTCTAGCCACTGCCGATAGAATGTGATCGTCGCATCAACCATTCTGGGGAACGTCTCCCGATGGTGATCTGAGAATGCTGATTGGAAGGTTTAGAACAAAAGCTCTTTAAATAGAGACAGAGTAGCAGGGTTGTGATGTACATGTGTGTCATGATTCACTTACACATGATTCTAACTGAAATTCTCATCTCGTCTATTTGGAGTGAGAAGGGTGTTAACTCCTATAATGTAACATGGCGTTAATGCCCTTTTAGCTCTAAACAGATAATCTGTCTGTCTGTAAATCTCACAAGCAGGCTGAGAGGACTTGAAATAAGCAAAATGAGATTCTCGGTAGCTCAGCAGATTCCACTCAAGACTTGCCTGACTGAGCTTTCGGCTGGGGTTTTTGATACAGTTATATCATGAGAAGCATATCATGTATCTAATTTATTTTACTTCTGATCTGCCATTTTACAAACTTGAGTCACACTATGAATGTTTAGATTATACCATTTATTACTGATCAGTGTCAAGTTTTAACAAGATCTCCTGCTTCACTGTCCGTTACAGGGCTTTTCCCCTCCCATGGATTTTACTCCTTTCAAAAGAATTCATGGTGACAAATTTCAATTCATTAAAAATCATGTTTTTATACTGAGTTATTTTTATTATGAATCTAATCTTGCTCTGCTTAAAGAACAAATAATGTGGCCTTAGAAGAAATCTCTATCAGTATTTTTTTTTCTCCTGAGGATCAGATCGTATGAATGATGTAAAGCTATGCTATGTGGTAGGAAGGGCGAAATGAGATGTAGTGGCATTATAGATACTGAAATTTTGTTATGCAATTATATGATTTGATGAAAAGAATGTGGGGTGTATTGCTTTGTTTGTCATCACTTTGATATATGCTGAGAAAGCACAAAACATACTGAACAATTTGAGATTTATGGAAGGAAAAATGTGAGTCTGGAACTTGAGCTTTCTTCTTGTTTATGTCTTAATACTGTGATGCGTTTCATTGTTTTTTATTTCACAAAGAGTTCTATTTGAAAATGGGTAATAGAGGTGGTAAGATGTGTAGTGTGCAATTTGATGTTAACCTTGTTCAATTTAGTGTGTGTCTATTTCATTTGAAATTACAAATCAATATTTTGTACATTTTAAAATATATCAGTCATCTTCTCTTCCATTTAATACCTCTGTGCCATGCTTTTATGAAGCAAGAAAGTGATATTAAGTAACTAGTACCAATTTGTTCTTGCTCTTAGATTAAAGGTTTGAAAATCATGATTTATATCATTAATGATATAATTATATTGTTATCATAGATGAGACATGATTAAAAGTTTTCTGAAATTTTAAACAAAAAATTCTTGAAATCATGTAATAATCAGCCAGTAGATGAAATTGTATTCACCAGGTTTTGTTTCTTAAAAAGAACAAAAAAGGACAAAAACAGTTTGCAGTTGATATCTGCCATTGATAAATACTTTTTATGAGTCTAATGATAATATATATGAAGACCCACCTAGGGCATATAGGAAGTTGTACGCTAGGTAGTTTGATTATTATCTTATCTGGATTTCAATTTCAAATCTATCCATAATTACAGAAGTACAAACAGTAAAAATATAATGAATACAAATTGTGAAATGTAAGAAACTGAAGAAAAAAATTGATAATATAAGAAATGTTTGATACTATTGTAATAAATATGTTGATAAAATATACTTATTTCTATGCAAGAAAATGATTGAAAATTGTCTGGAGTTTGTTCTGTCGTTATTCATTTTCAAAAATAAATTCAACATATTCAAAAGCATGGGTTGTACATTTTCTACATCGAAATGAATTTATGATGTGATTGTAAAGAAATTTCTTTTGTAATGTAAATTATTGTACTTACGATATTTTATCCCATCTTTGGATTGGTAAGATGGGTTTTACATAGCATCTGCTGAAAGCCAGAACGGCCTTCTGGGTCTCATCAAACCATATATCTATGTCTTCTGTGAATGTTGAAAGGTTGTAGAGTTTATTGGGAGTTCACAGTTTGTATCAGAGTGTTGTTGATACCATGACATTTGTTTCTAAAAAATCAGGATATTTTATACATTTGTGGTATATATTTTGTTTACATGTATGGAGCTTGCCCCCGTACATATATTACAGGTGATAATTAGTTTCATTTTGTCCATGCATGGCACATAGATTTTTTGTTTTACGTAGTCTATATCAGATGATATTTTTTGTTTTGCATTCCATTTCATTGTTCTGTGCATCTGAAACAAGTAGTTTGATTTAAAGTCACCCATTAGAAAGTTGTTACTGGAGAGCATACCAATTTCACCCCATGAAAAAAATTAAAATTCACATACAATTGGATACTTTTATTGTGATAGTATTCAAATGACCTGTCTACTTTTGAGCATCTTTTATTACAAGCACTGTACGTGATTAATTCTGCTAAGTTTAATTATCTGCAAACCCCAGCAATTTAGTGAACACTTTCAAAGTCATTGCATGGCTGTGACTTTTTTAATGGATAGTTTATGTGTAATGTCGCTTCCTTTCGTTGTGATGCTCAATAGACTTGCCCTACTAAAAAAAAAGCTATGTACCATCTCCAGTATGTTAAGCTGTTTTTAGATAGTAGCTAGAAATATTCTATTTATTTATTCTTCATGTGCATGTACAATTTCTTTCTTAGAGTACCATTATGTGTAGATTGTGTGCAATTTTGATGTGCAAAACCATGTGCCTGCATAATTTGAGTCCATATTTCATATGAAACTTTATATAGGGTTTAAATGATCTTCTGCTAGTCCCTGGGGGGGGGGGGTTGAATCTGAGATTTCTTTCTCTCGAAGGTTGTTATCTCATAGATGATCATACATGTCATATTCACAATCATTTTGCAAACATGTAGAAGAAGATGTCACATTTTAGAGAAAAAATGAATAAAAAAAACATGTGCTTCCATGATTTTTTTCTTTGAAATATGACTCGATTTGCTTTCATTTTCTGGAGTATTGAGAGAGATTTTTGTGGGAAAGAAAAATTACCAGGAAATAAATTGAAGAAGGTACTGAGCAATAGGAGGAGGAGGGGGGGGGTGGACTCGTTGGAGGGAGAGGGATAAACAGATACAGACGGACAAGTAGAGAGGGGGACTATAAGAGGTACAAAGAGAGAGAGAGAGAGAGAGAGACTGTCGGGGAGAGACTGTCGGGGAGAGAGGGGTAGGAGAGAGGGGTATGAATGAGGGGGCTAATAGTGTAGAGAGGACATACTGTCTCGGAAAGGCAGACACGGGAGTAAGCAGGGAAAGACCAGAAAAGTTAAGAAGGGGTAGGAAAATGAAAAGCGAAAGAGAGGAAGAGAAAGGTCAAGCGATCACTGAATACGAATGTTTTCATTTAGAATGAGGAACAGATCTATACTATTCTGAATAAATATAGCTTTAACCCTTACTGTACTGGGGGGGGCACTCGACATTTTCGGAGATCGCGCTGCAACCGCTTGGAATTTTGAATTGTCGTTTCATGACTTTTTTCCCTCAAGTCTTGCGCACATTTTGATACCATTTTCGTCAAAATCGGATATACCTGTAAGGTATTACATAACAATTAGTATGCGCATGTCATCAAAAATGTGCTATAATTGCATATATTCACGTACAAGCAGAAATGTGAAGATATGAATTGATATCAAATTGCTTTTATATGTTTCTCAGAGTAACTTGATGTATTCCAGAACAAAAGAATACATTAGAAATAAAACGATAGATATAATAAGAAATAAAAAACAATAAAATACATAAGAAAATAAATAGTTGAAAATCGCATCAAATTTGCATAAATTATCATTATTAATTACATCAAATAGCTATTTTGTGTTAGAAAAGAAGTTTCATATGAATAATGAGTTTCAACATTCAAAAAGTGGAGTCTGACAATTCTTGTAATGATTCTAGTTCCCTAAATATAGTGACAGATTTGATATTCATGAATGCGTAATCTGCGTATTCATAATTTATGCAAATTAACCTATGCATTTTCAAATATCATAAAATAATGAAACCTCATGAATTTGAGACGAAGGAAACATTTATTCAATACATTTTCAAGATTCTTCACAAGTCTACGGACAAATATGTAGAGTTTTCTGTAAAATGCATAAAATTAGCATTTTGCATAATTAATTAGGCTATACCGAGAAAAATTTGCGTATTAGGAAAAAACTAATTATACCATCTTGTTCCTTACCTAAATATCTACAAATATGCAAATTTTCGTGTTCATCGGACATTCGACAGGCGAGATCATAGGGGGGCCTCCCAGCCCCCCCCCCCCCCCCCCCCCCCAGTCAGAAGGTGCTCAAAATAGCCCAGTACAGCAAGGGTTAAATTCTATATTTTGTTGATATATAATATACCTTCTTTGATTTATTCAAAATGCCGGGCGAGGGGGAGTCTGGGCTGAACATCGTTAAACATCCATTTAAGCGTGGGCACGTAATCATAGTAAGTCTCTACAGTGAATGACATAATTACCGTGTTTACACAGTGACTCGGCTCGGGGGTTGAATCCTCGAGCCCAGTCACCGTGTAAACCAGGGGCGGCGATCCAGGGGGGACGGGGGGATCGTCCTCCCCCGCCCCCCCCCCCCTCCTCAAATTCGAAAAAGTGCACACAAAAATGTATAGCAATTACTGACTAAAGTCTGCAACACACTTTTAGGCTCTGGAGGGCCTTAAAGTGCAGCGTTTAGACAAACAAAAATGCAAAAATCTTCTCACTTGGTAGCTACGCTCCCTCCTATAATATCCTTCAAAAGAAGACGTAGATGGCGTCAACCAGTATTTCCCATGCTTCATCGCCTTTAAACAATGCCCACAATCCTGTCTTACCTCAGGATCTAGGACAGCATGTTGGGCAATGAAATGGGCATGCTCTGTGCAAAGAGTATACGTATAGCGGATTGAACCCCCCCCCTTTGTTATTTTTTTATGTGTGTATTTTGGAGGAAAACGCCCCCTTTGGTAATTTTTTTTTTTTTTTTTTATTAAAAAAAAAAAAAAATTATACCAATGGCTGACCTAAAAAGTTGACGTTACCCCCCCCCCCCCCCAACGGAGCAAAATGTCAAATTTTCGAGACCAAACAAAAATTAAAAAATAGTGTCCTCTTACCCCCCCCCCCCCCCCCCCCCTTATTTAGCGGCTTGCTGAGTCGTTGCAAGCCCTATTTAAAAATGTTACCCCCCCCCCACCCCTTGAAAAAATCATGCGTACGCGCCTGGATTTAAGTATTGAAGTTGAGTTTGATCATGGTTTGATCTTACAACTATATACCATTCTACTACTGCGTATAATAATGGAGCATTTACTGAAGAGGAAGTTATAAACATTATCATGAAACTGCTTCACAATATTAAGGCGTGTGGCGTTGACAACATTATTAATGAATACGTTGAAAAACTGTCCAGTTATGTTAGTATCTCTTATTTGTTTTGTCATCTGGTTTCAGGCGCGTACGCAGGGGGGGGGGGGGGGTGTTTTGGGGGGTTAAACCCCCCCCCTTTGGTATTTTTATGTGTATAAACCCCCCTAAAAAAAAAATTTAAAAACCCTTTGTTTTTTTTTTTGGTAATAATAAACAATTAAAAATTTAAAAAATTTAAAAAAATTATTCCCATGGCTGACCTAAAAAAGGCGACCTTACCCCCCCCCCCCAACGGAGCAAAATGTCAAATTTTCAAATTTTGAGACCAAAAAAAAAAAAAAAAAAGTGTCCTCTTATCCACTGTGACGACTTCGAGAGTGACTACAACTACAATACTTGTATTTTCTCGAAGTTTCACTTTCCTATAATATCAGCTAAACGGAAATCAGAGTTTTAAAATTATCGGGGAATCTAAATTCAAACAAGGATTAGGAGTCAACAACGGTACAACGAATTGTCTTCCTTTCTCTAATATTTGGATGAAACGCCAAAGCTTCCGCGCTTCCCGCACTTAAAGCGAGAGGGGTAAAAACTGAATTCAGATAAGGATTAAGAGTCGAGAACAGTACAACGAATCGTCTGCTTTCTCTCATAATTGAAGGAAACGTCAAAGCTTCCGCGCTTTGCGCGAGAGGGGGAAACTGAATTCAGACAATTAGGGTTAAGATTAGAGAACGGTACAAGAAATCGTCTTCTTGCTATAATAATCTAATAAAACGTCAAAACTTTCGCTTTGCGCGGGAGGGGGGAAACTTCATTCAGACAAGAATTAAGAGTTGAAAACGGTACAACCAATCGTCTGCTTTTTCTCATAATTTAATGAAACGTCAAAGCTTTCGCGCTTCGCGCAAGAGGGAGAAACTGAATTCAGACAATTAGATCTAATTAAGAGTGGAAAACGGTACAACGAATCGTCTTCTTTCTCTAATAATTTAATGAAACGTCTTTGCTTCCGCGCTTCGTGCGGGAGGGGGAGGGGGAGAACTGAATTCATATAAGGAGTCGAAAACAGTACAATCAATAGTCTGCCTTTTCTCATAATTTAATGAAACGTCAAAGCTTCCGCGCGGGAGAAACGTAATTCAGACAAATAGGGTTAAGAGTATATAGAGAACGGTACAACAAATCGTCTTCTTTTTAAAATAATTTAATGAAACGTCATAACTTCCGCGCTTCGCGCGGGAGAGGGAAACTTCGTTCAGACAATGATTAAGAGTCGAGAACGGTACTACAAATCGTCTTCTTTTCCTAATAATTTTATGAAACGTCTAAGCTTTCGCGCTTCGTGCGGGAGGCCTTTCACCCACCGCGCGCTCTTTAATTGATTCGCTTGCTCACTACCGCCCCTCCCTAAAATAAGATCCTAGCTAAGCGCCTGCATTATTAAGTAGCTATGATGCTGACTAAGTTGACGAAAAAATGCGTATATTTATGTCGTCGAGGAAAATGACCATTTGCGCACATGCAAGTACTATAGATAGTTCATAGCAAAAACCATTTAGCCTTCGGCCCCGGGTTTATAGGGTTAAATTTGTAGATATTGGGACATTTAATTTTGTCGGTAATTGGTGGCTAGTTTTGTCGGTAATCGTTGGCCTCTACACCCCCCCCCCCCCCCCCCCCCCACTGAAAAAGTATCATCTCTTCTCATTCTCAAATCCCGAAAACAGTCTGGCTTCGAATACTTTCAATCAGTTGCCACATCGGCCTATATGTAATAAGCTCCCTGCATTTCTAACAAATAGTACTTCTGGTAACAGCAACAAAATTTAAAAACATTTGCCTTTACAATGTATTGATTAACTATAGGGAACAGCGCCTTGCATCCTCTCGAAAGGCGTTACCTTAATCTTATTAATATTATTATTAGCACTTACCATGTAATAATGCTAAAAAAACGAACAAACAAACAAACAAAACTAAAAGTAAAAACGGTGATGACGTTCTAGTAGGTCTAATTTGTTTTTATAAATGTTCCTGGCGTTCCAAAAACAATATTTCTTTGCCAGGTATACTCCCTTTGTTCGTGTAATGTATTATTGTGAACTTTGTTATGACGATTAGAGAAAATGTAAATAGATATGAAATCTCATTCAATTGAATACGAAATTGAACCATTCGAGTGTGACTTCGTGCAAAATAAACCAATCACACGGTTCTTTTGATCTACGCAAGACTTCCCATGTTCACCCAGTTTAATATTGAACCCTCTGTTTGAAATTAGAAGAGACTGAAGAGAAAGAAAGAGCTAATGGGGCATGACTTGTTATTCGTACATCCTTCTAATCTACACGATGTTCTACGATCCGATTAGATAGGAAATCTAAAAAAATATTATCTTTCTGATTTAGCTTCTAAATAATAATAAGAATACTAAAACACTACCAAGAAATCATAAAATCCTTTGAAATTCAGATTTTCATATGACTATTCAAATCATAATCAACTAAATGTTACTGCATTGATCCCTTCTAGTCAGGATATATCCGAATT